GCCTAGAAGAACTCACATTAGAACTACAATGTGATTGCTTTAGCCTTCGAAGATTCTTTTTTCAACTCATGCATAAATAGCCTGTCAGTAAATTGAGATTGACACAGTTGGGTTTTAAGGTGAGGTTTGCTGAGGAAGTTTCATTCTGTAAAAATAATTTTTAAAAACCCAATTATAGGCTGAGAAGAGAAAGAACACTGAGACCATTGCAACAGGTTCCACAGCGATGCCATCCTGATCAAGGCCATGGCAGGAAGAGAAGACAGGAGGGTATTTATGGTGAGATGGTTTCAGGTAATAGTGCACAAATAACTCATTCATGGGAAGGAAACAGCATTTCACAAGCAGAGAACCCAATAAGGTATTGAAAAATAGGTCTCAACTAGAAGTTAGACTTAATGTAATTTATTCTTGCAAGTTAATAAGTTAATAGCGATAAAGTCAACTAAAGAATGCTTTCACTAAGGAAAAGAGGGAAGCTTTCTGGAAGGAAGGAAACAAGGTCAAAGACATGCATGAAGCACGATCTTTTGGGAAATGGTCAACATTTATGGCTCAGTCTTAGAAAACATAAGAAGACAGAGTCTATTTTTACCTCAGACTTATAAATTGAATTCGTTAGCAATTTAAGTATGGGAAGCTATTTGTAAATCTGCTATTTGACTATCTCAAACCAAGTAGTTATACAATGGCTTTAGGTAAGAGAAAAGTCATCCAATTTATAGTTATCAGATATTTATCTCAGAGTTAGGATCAACACTGAGCCTCAGTTTCCTTGGGTATAAAACAAGGAAAACAGTTTCACCTCATAAAGTAGTCATGAGGATTACTGAGATAAAACGTGCAAAGCATTCAGTACAGGACCTAGCGCATGATAAGTGTTCAACAAATATTGGATATTATTATTGTTAACATGATCAAATCATCATCATAGGTCTGTGCTTTTATAATTCAGTGTCTTAGGCAAGAAGCCAAACGCAATCTACGAGATGACTTGCACACAAATTTTATTTCTTTTTAATATTTTAATGTGCAATTGCTTAATACAATAGATGTGCTATTAATATTTTAATTTATCAAACTTTTTAAATCATATTTTAAATGTACCGTGGAACTCTTACTTTAAAAAGTTGCCATTGAATTTGAGTGACCAATTAAGAATTTATCTTGTACTTGTTTTTTTTTAGTGCCTTGGATGCACTAGGAAAGAATGAAACATTGTTCTCCTCCCTGGTGGGGAAGCTAAGTATTAAGACCAGTATGACTTCAGTGGTCTGTATCAGCCATTATCAAAAAAAACAGCATGGGGTGTGGCGTAGCCTCTGAGCTGCCCTTGGGGAAGGCCCTTTCTTGCCTTGACAGGACAGGGTAGTGATGGCACACAGATGGTTGCATCAGCACCCCAGTGCAGCATCACTTGGCCACAAGAACAAGGGCAGCCGTGGCCAATGTGACTTAGAGATAAGGGGTTGCACTCGTTTAAGAACCGGCCATTGGGAAGGTCCTCTTTCAAAACTGAAGGGAAGTTCCATGAGGGCAGCAGCTGTGTCTCATTCACAGCAGTGGCCCAAGAGCAAGAACAACACCTGGGCTATCGTAAACAATCAATATGTGGGGATGAATGCATGCGTGGATCATAAAAATCTCCAGGAATCCTTGTAGGATGGAAGGAAAAGAGAGTTCTCAAAATGACTGATATTGGACCTTTTACTAATTCTGGTAGATAAAGCTCAAGCTGGTTCTCTTTAAATTTGGGAAATGAAAAAAGAACTGACATTATTAGCACCCAATTGTGTAGATAAATATATTTCTGGTACATTAATCACTGAAAGCACTTAAATAAAGGCTAGAGAGGGGTGTTACACAGATAAAATAGTTCAACTTGAGGCACAAGGTTAAATAATATAGAGGTTTCTGGCATTTTTAAGTCTCTTACCCTTTTAAGATCTGATGAAAACTATGAAACCCCTCCATAGAAAAATCCACATGCAGACATTGCAATAATCATGGGCGTCAGGGTGGGGATGGGGCTAGGAATGTGGGGAGAGGAGGAGGAGAAATTAATGAATAACTGGTTGAAGAAAAACAGGATAAGAAGAATCTAATGCCCCTTTTGAATCTATCTCAAACAGCCTGTAAAAAAAAAAAAACTTCTTACCAGTATCTGTACCCCTATATTTACTGCAGCACTATTCACAATACCCAAGATATAGAAACAACCTAAGTGTCTATCAACAGAGATAAGGTGTTGCACTCATTCCGATAAAGAAAATAAATGGATAAAGAAAAGGTGGTATTTGGACCAATGGAACAGAATAGAGAACCCAGAAATCAATCCACATATTTACAGCCAATTGATCTTTGACAAAGGCACCAAGAACACACACTGGGGAAAAGACTGCCTCTTCAATAAATGGTGCTGGGAAAACTGGACATCCACATGTAGAAGAATGAAACTAGACCTGTATCTCTAGCCATATACCAAAACCAACTCAAAATGGATTTAAAACTTAGACATAAGACTTGAAACTATAAAACTCCTAAAAGAAAACATGGGGGAAACACTCCAGGAAGTAGGACTGGACAAAGACTTTATGAATATGACCCCCAAAGCACAGGTAACAACAGGAAAAATAAACAAATGGGATTATATCAAACTAAAAAGCTTATGCACAGCAAAAGAAACAATTAACAGTGAAAAAACAACCTACAGAGTGGGAGAAAGTATTTGCAAACTATGCATCCAACGAAGGATTAATACCCAGAATATAAGGAACTCAAACAACTTAACAGTAAAAAAAACAAAAACCTGATTTAAAAAATGGGCAAAGGAGCTGAGTAGGCATTTCTCAAAGGAAGATATACAATGGCCAATAGACACATGAAAACATGTTCATCACTCACCATTAGGGAAATGCAAATCAAAATCCCATTGAGATGTCATCTCACCCCAGTTAGACTGGCTATTATCAAAAAGACAGAGAATAACAAATGCTGCTGAAGATGTGGAGAAAGGGGAACCCTCCTACACTGTTGGTGGGACTGTAAATTAGTGCAGCCATTATGGAAAACGGTATGGAGGTTCCTCAAACAACTACAGATAGAACTGCCATACAATCCAGCAATCCTGCTACTGGGTACATACCCAACAGAATGGAAATCATCATGTTGAAGGGATACCTGCACTTCCATATTTATTGCAGCTCTATTTACAATAGTCAAGAGTTGGAACCAACCTAAATGTATATTGTTGGACGTCTGAATAAGGAAAATGTGGTGTATCTACATAATGGAATACTACTCTGACATAAAAAAGAATGAAATACTGCCATTCGCAGCAATCTTAGAGAAAATTATGTTAAGTGAAATAAGCCAAGCATAGGAAGAGAAATACCACATGTCCTCACTCATAAGTTGGAGCTAAAAAATAAACAAATAAATTTAAATATATAAAGATACAACAATCACAATAATGCATTGAACTTTCAAAAGGAGAGAACAGAACTGAGGTTACTAAAGGCAGGAAAGAGAGAGGAGTTAGGGGGAGTAGGGGAGGAATTGGTAAGGGGCCACAAAAAGTGATTACACTGTATAATGTTAATATACTAATTATCCTGATTTGAGTATCACATATCGCACACAGGTATTGATATTCAACTCTGTAACCTACAGATAAACTATGCACAATAAACTATGTCACGATAAAATAAATATATTCTAAAACAAGAAAATAAAGTAAAATAAATTATAAAAACAAAAAGAAAGAAAACGTGGTATGTTTCAGGTCTCGTGGCCAGCTTAAACATCAGCACAGCCATGTTAATCAACTTTCTACCCTCTTCTCCCTCCCCTTTCCCTCTTTCTGCTCTGGGAACTGGTCAGCAAAATTCCTCACCTAGGAATGGGTACACATAACTGTTATCATCAAAGGAACATCCTGCTCAAGCTCGTATGCTGTGGATAGATGTATTGTACTGATCAGTGTATATGGTGGTGACACAAACCAGCCCTAACCGACCAGATGTTATTGGACCACAAAGGCTATGTCACCTTGCATATACCACTAATTTCAAAATTGCCCATAACTCTGCCAGGATTCTCCCTCAAAGTCTTACAAGACCCCTGCTTTCCTTTGTTCAGGGGAGCTGATCTGACTCAGTCTCCCCTCTACACTGGTGGAATAAAGCCTCTTGGCTGAAATAGCGCCTGGCTCGGGTCTCTCTCTTTTCTCCGTCTTGCCAAACCTAACAGTATGATACATAATGGAATGCTATTCAGCCATAAAAGAATGAGAAATCCTGTCATTAGCAGCAACAGGTATGAGCCCGGGAAACATTATGTTAAGAGAAATGTCTGGTACATAAAGAGAATTACCGCATGTTCTCACCTATATGCAGGAGTTTAAAGAGTTGAACTCACAGACAGTAGAGCGTAGTGTTGTAGTTAGTAGAGGCTGGGAAGGGAAGGGAGAGCAGAACGCAGGACGAGGTGGGTTAAAGGACACAGACTTACAGCTACATAGGATGAATAAGTTCTAGTGCTCTGTAATAGTGCTGGGTGACTATAACTAACAATAATTTATTGCATATTTTCAAATGGCTAGAAGAAAGGAGTTCAAATATTCTGAGAACACAGAAATGATAAATGTTTGCAGTGATGGATATGCTGACTACCCTGGTGTGATCATTACACATTGTAAACATGTCTCAAAATATCACTCTGGATCCCATAAATATATCGAATTATTACATGTCAATTAAAAATAAAAAGTAAAGCAATTTTTAAAACTACCTCTTACCAACTCTTTTGTAATACACATGTGTATCCTCCCTTGACCAGTTCTGTAAATCTAGATTTATGCATTTTGATTAGATTAGTTTAAGAGCCATCATTTTTGCATTGTTTGGGTAAGCCTGGGGTTGTGAGAAGGCTGTGGATTTGGGGTACTTGCAGACTTTGCTTGAGTTTTATGGGTGCTGGGAACAGAGGCATAGAAATACCTTTATTGACAAGAACAGTGAACAGCTCTGAAGGAAAAGACCAAGAACGAATGGCCCAGTTTCAATGCGGAAGGAGCCAGGAGGTTGACAGCAGGATAGAGAAAGAGATCTTGGCCACCAGAGGGGGCAAACTCCAGTCTTTCTCAGCGGTACTGCTTCCAGGTGTCAAAGAACAAGGCAATCGTGCTTTTCAAAAATCCTTCTGAAATTAGAAAAATCTTTTTTCTTAACACATCACACATGCATGTCTTTGTATCACACATCACATTCAACACACCTTACTGAACACCTACTTTGTATTAAAATAACAATATTGAGGGGGCTTAAGGACGATAGAGTTTCTGCCTTCACCTTGACAGGAGGCAGCAGGGATTCTTGGGAAGAGCATGAACCTCGGATATCAGACAGGAATGGCTCTGAGTCTTGGCTTTGCCACCTACTCACTGTGACTGCAGCCAAGTCAGGTAACTGAGCCTCCATTTCCTCATTTGAAAAGCAGCTATAATGATGCTGCTGCCTCATCTCAGGACTGCAGAGTGTCTGACACATAGTATGACTTAATAAATGTCACCTTCTCTCCAGTTCACCTCTCTTTTGCCAAAGAACTTTAAATCAACTCAGTGAGTGAAAACATTCTGTAAAGCTAAGTTTAATCAAAGGTGAAAATAAAATAATTACTATAGCAAGAGAAAAATAACAACAATGGCTAACATTTGTAGAGCAAGTACTATGAGCCAAGTACTTTACACACACGATCTCATTTACCCCACAAGCCTATCAGCATGCTGTTGTTGTCCACCTTTTACCAATGAGGGTGCCAAGACTCAGATATGTTAGGTAATTTGTGCAAGTTGTGTGGCAGAGTTGGGATCTGAAGTCACATAGTGTGACTGCAGCAGCTATGCTCTTAACCACCAGGAAAATACTGATTTGAAACAATATGCAAAATTTTATGGGACAACAGAGTAAGGGGCAATTTATTCCATCCAGGGGATGATGGCCAGGGAAGCTTTGAGGGAAATAAGGACATCAGAGCTAGGCCTTAAACGAAGAGCAAGGTTTCATTTTGATAGAGGTGGAATGGAAAAGGGGATATAAAAAGGAGGGTTGTTCCAGCCCGAGACATTAGCACCAACTATGCAGAGATGGAAAAGGCCATCATGTGCTGGAAACAGTGCAAAATTTGCATGGATAGACATCCCTCGGCTCATGGGATATGTCATGGTGTAAGCCAGTCACGGTAATTCTATTCCCACTGGCCAGACAGAGAGATGAAGCAGGGGGAACGATTTGAGAACAGGTTAGGGACAAATAATGTCATACCTACAAGGTCTTGTAAGGACATTTGGACCTGAGAGGTAATAGTGAGCCACACAGATGGTTTCAAAAAAGAAGATACATGATATGACCCGTGTTCCAAGAATATAACTGTCAGTGATGTGGAAGAAACATTAGAATGGGGGAGAGAAAACAGGAAGCTCCTGTAATATTTTAGCCAAGAGACAATGAAGGCTGAACAGGGCAATGGCAGTGGAAATGAGTGGGTACAGAGATATCCCAGAGGAAAATTGGCTGGGCGTGAGTACTGATATGGGTGCCTGGAAAAACGCTGATATTTTTGATCAGTAAGTAGACGGGAAAGAGGAGAAGGAGAAGGCAGCCAGAAGTCATTGGAAAAATATGATTCTTTGAATAGCAGTGTGATAACAGGGCTGCAGTGAACAGAGTACCCAATTAGTCGCGCCTTAGACAATAAAGACATTTTGTCATCTCACAAAAGAAGTCTGAAGGTGGGTGGTTCCAGGGCAGGTAAACTGCTCGGTCATGGATCTCTGAAATCCTTGTAGCCTTTTCCTCTTAATCTCAGATGGTGGCCGCAGCATTTCCAGGTATCCTGTCTTCACAGGAGAGCATCCTAAAAAGGAAAGACCTCTCTTCCCACATCCCAGACCCTTCTGAGAAGACTTCCTGTGACCCACAATGTCATCACTAGCCCCCCTTAGATCCCAAGAAGCCAGGGAAATGAGTATGTGGTAAATGGAAATAGGATTACCATGACTGGCTTACACAATGATGTACCCAGGAGCAATGGTAAACAATTCAGCGATCAGGGAGTTCTATACCACACATCTAAGCTGCTTGATTCACTCACCTTTGCATTCAATTCCTAAGTAATTTTATCTTGTGGGGGAATGGCATGTTTTCTAAATTTATAACCTCAGTATGCTCCTTAGTTAGGAATAGACTCCCTGACTCAACTACTAATTGCATGTTCAGGACATTTCTTTTATTCTTCTTCTGTACAGCCCCCAGAAAAAGTAATTTTTCAGATAAATTCCTTCCTCTTCTTACTTCTCTCCACTCGTTAAGGACAATCTCCAAACCCACTCTCTTGCCTGCTACCCTACCAATTAAAATTCTCGACATGCAAAATTAATTTTAAGGAAGAAACCTAAGAGTTGAATCGCTTCTTGTGATTAAACTAACACCTCCAATCTTTCACCAGCTTAGCAGTCTCTGTTCCTTTGCTTCCGGGATTTGCCCCAACCTAAGAGTTCCCTGTAATCTAAGGGCCAAGTCCCCATGCATGGATTCATCAGTCTCAAGGTTTACCAAAACCTCCCCAGTTGAGAGAGCTCTAAGTTTTATCACCTTGGAAACACAACAGCAAGCTCCCTGAATATGCACAGAGAGAATATTTTTAAAGCACCATAAAAAAAAAAATTGGGTTTAGTTACCCCCAAATGTAAGAGTCGCGATTCAAAACAGTCATTTACTAGGTAGCATCTTTGGTCAAGAATAGTATCTTCAATCCAACATATCACAGATATGTGTACTTTTGCTCACTAAACTGGTAGTTGGGAAACAGTTCAAAAATACCCCATCCCCATATACATTTTATTTTTTCTTCAAAAAATGGAATGTCTTTACTTATCAAACTGGATAGGCCACTGCTGATACAGTTACCATCTGTATGTATAGAACAGTAACTATTAGGCATCAAGTTACCTATGGCATTTGTAGAAATCCTAATTTTGGAAATGGAAGTGTAGAAGATACACTCATAGAAGGCATTTTGGACCTTAAAATGAAACTGCTTGTTTTGATGCAAATGGCTATGGTGTGTGTGTGTGTGTGTGTGTGTGTGTGTGTGTGTGTGTGTGTGTGTGTGTGTGTGAGAGAGAGAGAGAGAGAGAGGAATAATTTCTCTCATTTTATCCTTTCTAGTATTACAAGTTGCCTATCCTAAATTATCAGTATATTGTCACAGATGAATGACCAGCTGAAGTCAGTTCTATGCTTATTCTATGTACTGAATGCGCTAAACAACACTGATCAACTGACCCCTCCTCTGCTATTTCCTTCATAATAAATTCAACCACATTGTGGAGCGCCTATCCTGTGCCAGGCACCGTGCCAGGCGCCGGAGATACCCCGATGAACGAAGCAAGGTTCGGGTGTATTCCAGATCTCCTAAGATTTGGGAGGGTCACATCCTCGCTGCCCAGCCCGACGGCTGTCGAAGCGGAAACGGTACGAGTACCCACTGCTCCCGGCTCCCAGGAACTCTGGACTCCTGAGCCAGCCCGCGAACCCAGCGCCAGGGTTTGTTGCGTTCCCCAAGAGCCCAACGCTCAAGTTCGACTCCGGGGCCACGGGGCTGGCTCCGCACCAAGCGAACCCCGGGCCCCGCGGCGCGCCACGCCAGGTCGCTGCACCTGTCCGCCCGCCCGCCCGTCGGGGTGCGCCAGACCCC